ATGAAGGGTTCTAAAAATTTTGACCGAGAATATTCATTTACTGTATAGCGCCTTTTCCACCTCTAACCCAAGTTCCATTAGTAACCGTAGCAAATCTAGACTGACCATATAATTTTTCTGAGGTAAATGACTTGCCACTAATTTCGCATTAGATTTGAGAATCTTTCTACCTTCATTTTTCAAGACAGATTCACAATAAGGAGACAACACCTCTTGTGATATATTCATGTGTGATAATACCAAGGGTAGTTGATCAGTACGTCTAGCTACCTCAGGGGACACATGTGTGATAATACCAAGGGTAGTTGATCAGTACGTCTAGCTACCTCAGGGGACACATGTGTGATAATACCAAGGGTAGTTGATCAGTACGTCTAGCTACCTCAGGGGTCACATGTGTGATAATACCAAGGGCAGTTGATCAGTACGTCTAGCTACCTCAGGGGACACGTGTGATAATACCAAGGGTAGTTGATCAGTACGTCTAGCTACCTCAGGGGACACGTGTGATAATACCAAGGGTAGTTGATCAGTACGTCTAGCTACCTCAGGGGTCACATGTGTGATAATACCAAGGGCAGTTGATCAGTACGTCTAGCTACCTCAGGGGACACGTGTGATAATACCAAGGGTAGTTGATCAGTACGTCTAGCTACCTCAGGGGACACGTGTGATAATACCAAGGGTAGTTGATCAGTACGTCTAGCTACCTCAGGGGTCACATGTGTGATAATACCAAGGGCAGTTGATCAGTACGTCTAGCTACCTCAGGGGACACATGTGTGATAATACCAAGGGTAGTTGATCAGTACGTCTAGCTACCTCAGGGGACACATGTGTGATAATACCAAGGGTAGTTGATCAGTACGTCTAGCTACCTCAGGGGACACGTGTGATAATACCAAGGGTAGTTGATCAGTACGTCTAGCTACCTCAGGGGACACATGTGTGATAATACCAAGGGCAGTTGATCAGTACGTCTAGCTACCTCAGGGGACACATGTGTGATAATACCAAGGGTAGTTGATCAGTACGTCTAGCTACCTCAGGGGCCACATGTGTGATAA